CGAGGCGTCTCTGTCTTTGTAGTGGGCCAGCCGGGCAGGGGCCTGGGTGCGAGCGGTGCTGCCGGTGCCGCCCGAAGAGCTGCAGCCAGAACAGGTGGCCGAGCTGTGGGGCCGCGCCGACAGGATCGACTCGCTCAGCGACCAGGTGCTGCTGCTGGAGGAGAAGCTGGGCGCTTGTGAGTCCTCCCGCCCTTCCCCGCCCCCAACAACCGCCTCCAGCTCTTCCGGAGACCCCTCCCCAGCTCAACACCGGCTTTCCCAAAGGCTCTTCTCCAGCCGTCACCCCCAGTACCGGCCCCCGACGTCGTGTCACCACCCAGGGCTCCAGTCTCCTGTGGGGTGACAGTGACGGTGCTGGCCTCCGGCCAGACCACAGCCAACCTGCCTGCCTCTGTCATTAACCAGGCTCCTGTGAAGACAACAGCCTGGGCCCTGGCCTCAGTCGTCGATAAGCCCCTGCAAGGGTCCCTGCCCTTAATTTATACGAAACTGGATGCACTGATCCTTTGGGATTGGCTGATTGGAAGCTGCAGATAAGGCTATGGGCCACCAGGGAGCAGTGGAAGCTTCCAGAGCTGAAGGCAGGGCAGGTAGTTTTGGCCCACCACTGCTGTTTCTTGGGGCAGGTGGCCTGGAGGAGGACGGCTTCTTCAACTCCTTAACAAATGCAACCAGCAAGCACCCAGATCGCTCTCTCTCTTTATTCTCAGTTTCTTGCTGTCATCCTGTTAATTAATAAAAACCAACCACATGAAACTAGGCCCCGTCCTCTCCTTTTGCTCTCGGCCCACCTCCGGGTGGTGGGAACAAGTCTGGAGTGGGTGGCAGGGAGTGGCTAATGCCACCAGGAGGAAATGAAAACCGGCTCAGAGAGGGGAAAGCCTCAAAAGAAAGAGAAATAAATTAAAAGCCCTCCTATCCCTCCAGCCAGGGTTCAGTTCCTTTCCCCAGCTCCCCCGGGCGCAGAGGGGCGTGCAGCACCTGCTGTCGGCCTCCTCCCCGGGTCTGGTGGAAATGGTACAGCAGGGCTGCCCGGGGGCTGGGTGGGGCCAGGACCACTGAAGAACTGTACCACGGGGATCAGGAGAAGCAGAAATGTGGAGACCGGACTGTCGTCCAGGAGTGCGCTCGACCCTGGGCTTCTGGGCAAGGGCAGCGGTGAGACCTTGGAGTTAGAAGAGTCCAGCCCCCCAGGAGTCTCCCCCAGGGGGGAGGATGCAGATGCTGAGGGAGGTTCCCAGGGTGTGCCTGGGAGGAGTGTTCCAGGTATCCGCTTCCGGCCACAGGGTGAGGAGTTTCCTCATAAACGGATGAGTCCACCCAATCCATGGACTCGGGGTGGGGGAACTGTCCCACAGAACGCAGGAGTCCACTGGCCAGTGTGGAGTGAAGAGGAGGAGAAGCCCACACAGGAAGAGTCCACTGGGGATGGGATGGAATGTTCCTCCCCGCTGTGTAGGCTGAGCCTCTCGAGATGAGGGGGAGGCAACTGTCCCACAGACAAGATGGCAGGAGGTAGGGGTCAGAGTGGAGACTGCACCGAGGCAAGAGAGTCCATGGGTGGGGCCGGGAAGGGGCAGGAGGGGCCAGGAAGGGGCGCTGTATCCACATTCGCTTCAGAAGTTGATTCCAAAGAGGAGACTAGGTGGGGAGGGGGGATGAGGAAGAGGGCTTGGCCCTGCTTCGGCACACACTGGGTCGGTAGGCATGGGGAGGAAGAACAGGACAGGTGGGAGGGGAGCTCAGAGCCGGGCCTCACCCGCCCCCCCAGGCTTCTGCAGATAGTCACCACCACCCCGGCCATCAGTGGAGATTTCCCGGAAAACGGTGAGCATGGAGTGCCGGACTCTGTCAGCCAGCTCTGGGACGTTGTCTGGTGTCAGCCCTTCCGTGGGCACTGGAGGCAGCACCCGCACCTGACATCGCCCTGGGGCAGGGGGAGCACCGTCAGGCCTGTCCGGCTCGGCCTCCGCCCCCGGTGGGGCCCACTTCTCGCAGTCCGGCTACTCCCCTCCTCAGCCTTTGGTCCTTTCCCCTGAACCCAGGACAAGCAGCCGTCCTGCTGCCATCTGTACTCGGAGGCTTTCCCCAAACCCCAGCTGGGACAGCCGCTCAGTAAGCGTGGAGGTCCCAGTGTCTGCACGCGGGGCTCACCTCTGCTGCACGGGAGGGACCACGTGCGGCCCACCCCACAGGGTATGGCGGGTGCTTAACAAACTTAAGGGCTGACACGGGGTCAGGCTGGGTGCCCATGTGGACGCCTCACAGCTCTGACACCGACGGCTGCTCTTGCACCACAGGGGTGTCCCCAGCCTTTCCTACAGCCTTCCCGGCCACGCCCTACCCCAGACCGCCCGGAGCCCTCACCCGAGGTGAAGCGGCGCTCCTTCTTGCAGTAGAAGTCTTGATAGGAGGACATGACTATGGGGACAATGGGAACCTGGGGAAGGGGAGAGAGGTCAGTCCACAGCCCCCTCCTGGAGCTGCACAGGCCTCTGCCCAGAGAGGGCGGGACGGCGGGGCCGGGCTCGGCGGGGGCGCTCACCTGGGCCTGCACTGCAAGATGGAAGGCGCCCCGTTTGAATGGCAGCATGGAGCCGTTATGGTTTCTTGTTCCCTCGGGGAAAACCCAGACCCTCACCTAGGGGAAGAGAGGTTGTGACGCAGTCGTGACACTGCGAGGGCACTTCCAAAGGCCCGCTGCTCTGCTCCCTGGCCCCCCACGCTCCCACTTCCCCAGGATGACTCACGTCCTGGGTGAGCAGGGTCTGGGCGACCTCAGACATGACACTGATGGCATCCCCTGTGCGCTTCCGGTCGATGAAGATGACGCCCGCCAACCAGCAGGCCAGCCCGGCGGAGCCGGCCCACAGGAGCTCGCGCTTGGCAATGGGCACACAGCGGCCTGGCAGGACCTCCATCATCCCTTGGGCAGGGGTGGGGCGAGGATGAGGGTGGAGGCAGCGTCACGGCGGGAGCCCACCTCACTCAAGGACTGCCCGTACTAGCAGGGACTGGCGTGAGGGAGGAGGAGACTGGTAGAGGGAGCCCCGAAGTGAAAGAACGGGTGACAAAAGGGGGCAGCTCTACCCCAGGGAAAAGACCCAAGGTGGGGGTAGTATCCCACAGGAGGGGAGCTGAGGCCCTCGGGGGGAATTCTGGGGAAGGCTCCGCGAGGGCGGGCAAGGCCGCTGGAGGTGCGTCCCGTGGCGGGGTCTCACCAAGCAGGTCAAGGGAGCTCTGGTGGTTGGAGACCACGACGTAGGGCTGCGAGGGAGGGAAGTGGTGTGCCCCCCGCACCTCCACGCGGATCCCGTACAGGTACTTGATGTGGAGCAGCATGAGACGCAAGATCCTGCGGGTGACGGCAGAGGGTTCAGTGGGGCCCGCTGGCGCCCGCGTGCCCGCCTCGACTCCCCCCTCCAGCCACCTCTGCAGGCCTCTCCCTTGTCTCTGGGTTCTCCCGGTCTCCTCCGCACACATCATGCCCCCCGACGCATCACTCACTCCTCACCCTGAAGTTTCTGCCGTGACCCGTTACCCCTCGACCCTCACTTCATGTTCTCGACGTTGCGTCCTCGCACGGCACACACAGGGATGGCGAGCACAGCCAGGAAAAGGATCCAGCCATTGTAGAAGGCCATCTTGAAGAAGTACTTGGCACTGGGGCTGCAGAACCACAGGGTGGGCAGCAGGAAGAGCAGCAGCAGGAAGAGCAGCAGCAGCACCGTCCACAGCCCTGGCCACAGCTCCATTCTGGCCTCCTGCAGATGGGTGAAGGACAGCTGGCCTGCCTTCCGGAGGGAGGAGGACGAGGCCCGGAGCCAGGGCTGGGGGGAGGGGTGCTATGATGACAAGGACGGGACCAGGAAGTCTGTCTAGGGTGAGAGGTTACAGACACATTTCGACAGACGCGTGAGACATGGACATCCGTAAATGATAGACACATGATAATTAAGTGATGATAACAGGGCCAACTGGTGGTGTGGAGGTTAAGGCAGCTGGATCCCACAAGCTGGGCTGAGTAGTTTGAGACCCAGACCCTGCGGCTTGAAAATCATACTGGGTTGGGACCAGCATATGGCGTAAAGGTTACGTTGCTGGATTCCCATGTAGTCGAGCACATTTCAAGTCCCTGGTGGCTTAAAACTCATGCCAGGCGTGTGTGCATGCCCAAAATCCTGAGAGGAGAATGGAGGAGAAGTGATTGCAGCATGGCCCCCTCCCTGGGGAGTGATTTCTTGCTTTCTGTTTCTCTGTCTGGCAAACGCAAACAGCCTATCGCAAAAATCTCTCAAAAAAAAAAAAAAAAAAAAAGAAAGAAAAAGAAAATCACAGTAGGCACATGTGCCAAAAATCCAGAGAGGAAAATAGAGGAAAAGTGACTACGATGCAGCCATCCTCCTAGGGGTTGACTTTTCAATTTCTCTGTCTCTCTCTGGGAAGTGCATAGGCCCCACAGCAAAATTAAATGATAATGACAGTTAACACTTGCAGTTGCTAAATATCTTCTAGTGAACTATTCCTGTACGGTTCAAACCGGTACCACCAGACACGTGATTACTGCGCATTTGAAATGTGGTCAGTCTGGGGGCCAGCACACGGCGTACTGGCTAAGGCGCTGGACTCCCACGTGGCCAACCACAGTTTGAGTCCCGGACCTGGAAGCTAGCTTTCTCACTCCTGCCCCCTCCTCATCTCTCTCTGGTGAGTGCACATACCTTATAACAAATTACATAAATGAATAAAAAAGGAGAAATAAGATTAAATTATTCTTTAGGAAAAAAAAAAAAAAGAGGGTCAGCAAGTAGCAGGGGAGTTAGGGTGCTGGACTCCCATAGAGCTGACCATGGTTTGAGTCCCAGACCTGGCAGCTTGCTTTTTCACTTTCCCTCCCTCTCTCTGGTCAAAATAAAAAATAATAACAATAATGGGATCAGTAAATGGCGTAGCGGTTACGTCACTGGACTCCCACGTGGCTGACAGCGGTTCAAGTCCAGACCCGGTGGCTTGAAACTCATGCCAGGCACTTGTGCGTGTGTGCCCAAGATCCCGGGAGGAGAATGGAGGAGAAGGGATTGCGGCGTGACCATCCCCATTGGGGGGTGATTTCTTACTTACCCTCTCACTGCGAGTGTATGCATCCTAAGGCAAAAATCTCTAGCAAATAAATAAATAAATAAAACAGGTCTTAAAAAACGTGGTCAGTCTAACTTGAAATGCGCTGCAAATGTAAAATGTGCATCAGATTTCAAAGACTTTGGATGAAAAACAGAATGTAAAATATCCCATTAATATTTTTTTTTTTTTTTTGCTATAGGGCGCGTATGCTCGCCAGAAAGACAGAGAGAGACAGAAAGTGAGAAATCACACACAGTACACAGCTGATGTGGTGACAGTGACAGAACACCCACAGACGTACACTGAGGGCCAAGTGGCAAGAATTAAGGCTCGTGTCACCGATACAGACAGACATATATGCAAAGACCGACACGTTCCTTTTTCTTTTCTTTTTGAGAGGTTTTTGCTATAGGGAGTGTGCACTCGTCAGAAAGACAGCGAGAGACAGAAAGCGAGAAATCATCCCCCGGGGGTGGGGGGAGAAGGCCACACTGCAATCCCTTGTCCTCACCCCCCCATCTTGGGCACACACACACATGCGTCCAGCGTGAGCTTAAGCCACTGGGTCTGGGATTCGAACCGCGGTCTACTACATGGGAGTCCAGCGACAGCCATTACGCCAACTGCTGGTCCCGGACCCACACGTTCCTACATATGAATTTGCCATCACTCTCAGAGACAGTTAAAGGAGTGTAAATGCACACCTAGGAAAATCCCTGTCCGCCCAGGCCTCCCCACTCAGATAAAGCCAGGGACACACCCACAGCAGCTACATACACCAGTCCTGCCTCCAGAGACAGGGGAAGCAAGCCCACCATCCGCTTCTCGCCCTTCCAGCAAGGCAGGAGCTGAGCTCGGCAGGCAGGTCGTGAGTAAGCTCTCACAGGTGGAAGGAGGGCGGGGAGGAAGGAGGACATCACACCACCTGCCCTGGGGGAAAAAGCTCAAGAGGAAGCAGCACCTGCCTTCCCGTTTCCTCCTCCCTCCACGCTGCCCCACTGCCGGAGACAGTCATGGTTCACAAAAGGGTGTTCCGCAAAGTACCTGTTCCTCCTGCCGAGGACACAGGCACTGCCTGCCCATGGCCCGAGGCAGGCGCTGTGCTCAAAGGCAAGCCCGCTGCCGAGGTGGAGGGAACAGGCGGCTTTTGGGTTGCTGCACCCCCTGCTCCTGCACGTTCAGATCCACCCTTTCTCTCCCCTGGACTTCCTGCAGTAGCCTCCTCCTCCGCCCTCCACAGGACCACCAGGCTTTCCGGTAACACCAACCTGGGCATTTCTGGGTCTTGCCCGAGGGCCCTTCCCGACAAGTCGACTTGGGCTTACAGCTTAGGCCACATCCCCACAGAAATCTTGTTTGCTCCAAACTTCTGTACCTCACTTCTTCAGGCACACCACGGGTCGTGCCATGTTTCTGTGCCTTGAACATCCTGTCCCCGAGGGCCAGGGTGCCCTTCCGCCTCTCCCTCGCCTGTCTGACCGCTCAGTTTTACTCTTGGAGGTCTTCCTGAACTCCTCCAGGCCTGCGTTATCGTTATACATGTCTCTTGCTCAAAGTATACAAATGCAACTTCTTGGACCTCACCCCAGTTCTAGTGAATCAGAAAATCTGGGCACTGGGCCCAGCCGTCTGCATTTTAACAAGCCCTCCAGGTGAGTCTGACGTGCATCTGAGTTTGAGAACCACTGGCCTGACACCGCGGCACATGTAACTGCTCACGGGCTCCTCTCCCTAGGCTCCAAGCAGCCTGAGGACGGGGACTGTCTTATCCCCAAAGCCAGAACAGGAGACAGCAGGTCCTCAGTAACATCTGCTCGAGTATACAGATGCTAAGTCTGCATGCAAACCCACACAGCCACAGTTAACGGCAGACACGGCAGTTCTGATGTCAATCAGAGAGCGACCCTCTTAGGGGACATTAACTATAAGCAGCAAAGTCACCAACAAAGTAAGGACCGGTGCCGAGCTTTACATTACCGACTCACACACATGCAGGGCTGGCCCCGGGGGATGGCAGCAAAGACTGCTCAAGAGACGCCAGATCCCACATGGCAACCACAGTTTGAACCCCAGGCCTGGTCCGCGGGAAATTCGCCAGGTACGCATGGGAGTGCCGGAATCCAACAGTCTGGGGGACTGGAGGCTGAGGACTGCAGCGTGTCCTGACCCTGTGAAGAGTGCTGCACACACATGTGCTCGATCATGACTAATAAAAAAATTTTTTTTTTGAGAGGTTTTTGCTATAAGGCATGTGCGCTTGCCAGAAAGACAGAGAGAGACAGAGAGACAGAAAGCGAGAAATCACCCCCCAGGGGGGCTGGCCACACCACAATCCCTTCTCCTCCATTCTCCTCCCGGGATCTTGGCCACGCACGCACATGCGCCCAGCGTGAGTCTAAGCCACCGTATGTGGGACTCAAACCATGGTTGACTACATGGGAGCCCAGGGACATAGCCATTACACCAACTGCTGGTCCCCCAAAAAGAGATCTTAAATCTACACATACAGTACATGGTACAGTGCGGGCAGAGCACCCATCATGAAGATGTCATCGCCCACGCAAAGAAAACATACAGGATGAGATCAACATGCCACAGGGAAAGACGCAGCTGTCACCAAAATGTGCCAACGGTGCAAAGACTGAGGGATAGATAATGTCCATAAATAAACACAGATAATGGGCTTTCCCAGCAGGGCTGGCCCTGGGACATGCGTGGAGCCCAGGGACACAGCCTGTACACAGCCCCCGGAGACAGTGTGAAGGCACACGGGAGGCGAGGCGTACAGGGATGGTTCTGGGACACCTGGAGACTTGGTATTAAGCGACCCTCTCCGGGGCAGAAATGACTGAGGACTTACAAACACGATGCAATGTCAGATGGGATAACGGGCTTGGGCTCACGATCAATGTGTGAGATCCTACGTGTACACAGAAGCACGCGTGCTCCAGACGTAGCACATGAGTAGCACACAGAGGAGCGTGCACAGTGAGAGTCCTGCAGGAAGGCACTTGCGGAAAACAGGGCTATCCGATCACGAGCGTGTGCGCTGTCCGGCCACGCCGGGGGGCTCACACAGGACGGCCACTGCATGTAGCTGGGGCGCGGGACATGCCATGGGAGCCACAGTGAGGTCTCGAACCTTACACGCCGAAGTACACGGGCGAAAACAGGAGATGTGCAAGTAGCACGAAAACTCCACAATTGTGCAACACAGGAAAACTCACATACATGCGGGGCTCGAACGTGTTAGAACCGGACGTCAGACATGGACACAGGACGTGAGATTGGGCAATTAGGGCAGAAAAGAACACCCCATTTCTCCACAGCGCAGGGATGGACTAGCTGCACACAAGCCCTTAAACATGCCACACACACGCAATGGAGAAAACACGGCTCCCCACGAGGCGCCCTGGGTCAGCCAGGGTCTAGTCCAGTTGGAAGGCCGCTGAGGAACAAGGGGTCCTGGCTCCCGAGAACATTCCCAAATTCGGCTGGCCTTTTCCTCTCCGCTCCCCGAGGAGTGATGCGGGGTCAAAGGGCAGGAAAGGCACAGGGAAGCTGAAGGGGATTCTCTCTGCAGGGTCCCTGTCCACACCCCTATCCCCAGTCCCCCGCCTCCATTTCCCCTCCCTCCTGGCTCTCTTCCATCCCTCCCCTCTCATTCCCCCCTCCTTTCCCCAGCACCCCCTCCTCGCCGGCCCTGGCCCTGTCCCCAGCACCCTCTCCACGGTCGGCCTCCCGGACCCCATCTCTACCCCTCCCCTCATCCACAGCCCTGCAGCACCCTCCTCCCCCCATCCCCTTCCCGCCCACACCTCAGTGGGGTAGGGGGCCTGGGGGGTTGGCCCCCTCCCCAGCCAGGCTGCGGCAGCGGCGGGGGGGGGGG